GGCGCTATAATATGTGCTGTGGGCATCCCAAGTGGTATTGTAATGACTTCACCAAATGCTGACCTGGCCAAAAGATGCTTTTATTTATTTATTTTAGTACTGCGCCTGCTGAACCTGCTAAGTACAGTGATGACTTTTGGAAGGATTAAGGTTAACGATGATCTCTAACAGAAGCTCAAGCCTCACCCTGCGTGGGGCCAGCTCTGCTAAGCAGGTCGGGAAGCAATGCCTGAAGGAGGCAAATGGGCATCCATGAACTCCAGAGGCTGCCTCTGCTGGCGATTGTTAGTACCCACTGGGTGCCCTGCTGAGGGCTGCCAGTCACACCATCACTGCCGTGGGGACTTTGGGCCTGCAGAGGCCAACTTTCTGTCAGGGAACTCAACACATCAGCTCAGGAAGCCAAGTGTAGAAGGGGAGATATTTTAATTCTCATATGGGCCCTTTTCCAGTCAACACATTTTGCAGGTGCCAGATTCTATCCTGCCCCAAAGCAGCCAGCACGCAGGAGCACTTGTGGACATCTGGCACATTCTTTACAAACCTCCACCACAGGTACAAACATGTTGGCCATCAGGGCCCCTGACTGGAAAGTTGACCTGTGTGCACGGAGGTTATGTCATGGAGCCTGACCTCCGGATGCAATCACCCCAACACACACAACACACTCTGGAGGTTGAGATCCATGATCTCTTAAGTCCAAAGGTCCAGATCTCTTCCTCAGTCCTCAGGGAAGGCAAAAAGTGTGGCCCATCATCACTATCCCATAGTCCCCACCTGTCCTCTTGCTCTCGGCCATGCCCTGAGCTCCTGGGCCCTAAGACCCAAAGAAACTATGATGTGCTCAAAGTCACAGAGCTGCTGACTGATAGAGCTAGCTTTAGAATCTGGACTTGCCATGTAATCTTTTGTTTTGCTTGATTAAGTAATACCTTGACTTGGGGGTTAGTTTCATATTGACCAGATAAAAAATAGAATGAAAAATACAGAAAGTTCATACTCTCCCTCTCTCCCATTTTCCCAACTTTACCATCTTACATTAGTATAGTGCATGTGTTAACAACTGATGAACTGATACAGCTCATCATTGGTAAAGCCCATAGTTGACCTTAGGGTTCACTCTGGGTTGTACCTTCTGCAGGTTTAGACAGATACTGACATTCATCCATCACTGTGAAATTGTGTGGAATAGTTCCATTGTCCCAAATACCCTCCACCTGTTTATCTTTCCCATCCCCAGCCTTTGATAACCATTGACCTTTTCACTCTTCCCTTTGTTTTATCTTTTTCAGAATTGTGTACAGTTGAGATCCAACATTACGTAACCTTTTCAAATTGATCTCTTTGCATTAGCAATGTGCATTTAAGACTGCTCTGTCTTCGGGTGGTGTGCTAGCTCATTTCATCATGGTATAGCATTCCATCAGATAGATATGTCCCTTTTGGATTCTTCTGCAAAGTGAAGGAATCTTGCTTGCTTGCTTGCAGGTGTTGGCAGTAATGGAGACAGCTGCTCTAACAGCCCTCTTTCATACAGCCCATTCGTTCCACATGAACTGAACATGGCGAGATCTCGCAAGATTCCTTCCTACAGACAGTTGCTTTGGACAAGCTTTGCAAACCTTTCCAGTGATATTTGGCTTATGCAAATTCTGTCTTCTGCTCCATTTTGGTCCCTTCCCAAGAAAGAACATCCATTCATTGCCAAGCCTGTTATTTTAGGATGCTATTCAGAATGCTTTTTTTTTTTTTTTTAATGTCCAGTTTGCCAACCTGGATCTTACCCATTCAGATCTTCTCCTCTTGTATGAGGAATCAGCCAGATGTGGTTGGAATCATAGCTCCTCTGCTCATTAGTTCCATGTCCCGAGGGAAGTTACATTCTGAGGTGTGGCTTTTCCATCTGTAAAATGGGCAGAATGTTGTCAGCAGTTCAGATTGCTGTGAGGACCTACTGAAAGCACTCAGAACCCTTCCTGACAATGAAGGCTTCTTTTTGCTCAACCTCCTCGTGTTTCTCTCCTCTTCCTCCTCATCACCTCATTGTCTTTGCCATGGATCCACTCTAGAAAGTATGTATCTGAGGTGCTCACTCCCTTTGGCATGCACAGTGCCAGGGGGCAGGCTTTGAAATTCACTCCTTTCCTGTTAACATTGACGATGCTAAACAGCCATGGTCACTGTGTTAGTCATGTCTAACTTCTTTGCACCTGTGTTCCTAAAACTCCATTTTTTTTTTCTGGGACTGTGGAAGGAGTCTGTGCTTGGATACTCAAATAATTTTTCAATAGTAAGAGATGACCTTGGCAGGGTCACAGGGAATGTCAGTGTTGTTGATATGCCCAGACATCCTTCTCTCATTTATTCAAGGCTGAATAATCAGTTGGAAGATAATGCAGAACATTCTGCCTATTCCCCTATTTCCCTGTTCCCCTAATCCAAGCCTGTTTTCTGTTCAGGTTAACTCTGAAGAAAGCAAATCAAGAGGCACATCCAGCTTTAAACTCACATTAGTGAGAGTTTTATTGGGGACAAAAAAGCTACACTGACCGTTCAGGTTAGAAGTACAAATACCTCTTTTATATGAGTACGGCCAAGAGCACGGGGAAAACTGGAATTAAGAGATAAGATTATGTTAGTTCAACAAAATTGAAAGGCATGTGTCATTTTCTTCATGAATTTTCCATGAGCTTTTTGAAGACCCCTTGTGAGCGTCTGCTTTCCAACTTGGCCATGCCTGAACATTCTAGATGCAGAAAGAATGTGGTCTTTCTGGTCACTGTGGGACCTGAGACCTCCAAGAATCGCAGTGCTGTGTGGGTTCTGTTACTGGTCTGGAATTTCATCTTACAGATCAGCAAGCCTCTTCTGCCAAGGGCCTGGCTCTCAATGTTTTGGGCTTTGTGGATTAGTGTGTGTGTGGGTGTGTGTGGGTGTGTACCTACACGAGCGTGTTTACCTGTCCTGACTGTGGTTCTCGCATGCGCACATGGGAATGTGTGGTAGTGTGTGCATACCGGTGTACATGTGTTTTAGTGCATGTGTGTGTGTGTCTCCAGACAAAGCAGTCTCCCCTGGATTTCCTCAAATATCAGGAAACGTAGAGGAGGAAGAGCTGAGTTCTTTGCCTTCTCAATGGCGAAAGTATAATCACAGATGTTGCTTTCCCCTAGAGGGGCCCTCCCTGGGGGAAGCAGGGCCAATCACTTTAGGGTGTTTCTAATTATCAACTAATCAAGTTAGGCTCCACAGCAAGTAAACAGAACTCCAGGTTAGCCCTTTAGTGCGTGATTACTCTTTGAATGGCAATCAAAAGGTCTTCTCTGTTTAGCCTTTCTTTGGAAAAGGATGCTTAGTGAGAATGTAATCATTATATATTTTTTGTTCAGAATAGGAGGAGGGGGAATAAAATAAAAGAGAAAACAGGAATTTTCTTTTTAGGCATCTTTGAAAGTGTTTGAATTTCAAAGAAGTCCTGTGTACGGCAATGGTTCAGATAGCAAAGGTTAAGCTGACCACTGGGGTGGTTAGGGACTGGACCCTGTTTGGGGTCTGGCCCGTGGTGTAATATCAAGAGACACCTAGGGTGTTGGACTTAGAACTTGTCATTCAAGCATGCCCTGAAGGAAAATTGGCATGTTTTGTGTGTTTGGTTTTTATTTATCCTTCAGGATTGATTGTCATCTCAGACAAGACAGACATAGAGCGGTGTGAAAGCATTAGTTTGGCCACCAAAACGAGGAACTACTTTGTAAGCTTTACCTCTCGCTTTCCACTGGGGCAGAACAAACACTGAGCTCAGCCGCTTGCCAACAGTCTACCTGTCTGCATCCCATCTTCCCCAAGTGCCAAAATTCCAGGCCAAACCCAAGTAGTCCTGCCAAGACTTGCCACCCCATGGAGGAAGTTACTGGAATCACCCCCGTGAATCATCAGCGTGTTTTAATTTGTCTCCAAAATCCCATCACATACGATGTGTCTCATTGCACACAGATCATTTCCCATGACTCACATGTGAACGTGTCTCCCTTTCCTATGAAAGAATCCAAACTATGTTTGTTTCCCACAAATCCCCACTCCCTGACCCCTATTACAAGTTGCACCGTGTTTTGTCTGCTCGTCTTCTGATTCCAGCTGGGTCATGTTAGTTCTCGCGCCTTTGTGTCTCAGGACAAACATTGGAGAGAGGCAGAAATCAATGCAGCGCTAACCCAAACTTGGTGGTTCCCAGCCAGTGTTGTAAACAATCACCCCCACCCACTTGCTCTCCATGGGAGCATTTTTCTCCTAATGCATATTTTCGTAGTGATTGACCATCAACCATATGGCAAGATCGGCCTGTGGGCAAGCATATCATTAACAGCTTGCAGCTGTAGTTACAATAACTACACATGACTATGACATTGAGCCAGTCGACCAAGATGCATCTGAGTGGCAGAGTGGCCACTGCAAATGACTTCCAGCACAAATGAAGGGTTTAGTGGGGAACACCAGCTTCAGATGAGAGGATTCCATAGGTTCAGACTGAACTATTGCGAGTGATGGTTGGTGGGGAGAGATGAAGGAGAAAAAGATGTGTTGTACACCTGTATCCTGTGGAGGCTCCACTAGGTCTTTACTCAGATGAATTATTTTAAATGTGTTTTTGTTATTGTTGTTGTTGTTGTTGTTAATGAGAAAGAAGCAATTGCCCTTGAAGTGGAATTAATCCTGTGTCTTAAAACACTTAGATAAGGAAGTTACTAAGTCCACTTTGGTCCATGTATTCCTGCCGAATCCTGATGTCACAAGGCAAGCGTGGATGAAATTTGAGAACAGTGTACACAGTGTTAGCTCTTTCACCTAGTATTAGAATCAAGGCAGTCAAGTTTGGAGGGGACCCAGGATTGTTCTGTACAAGTGACTGGGGTGATGAAGACAGGGACACTTTGCCAGCTAAACTGGCTGCCCTGAGATCACAGGGAGGATTCTTGCAAAGCTCTAAAAATATGAATAGGCTAATGCTCACGTTGGAAACACATTTATTAAAATTGGAACGATACAGAGATGACTAGCATGGCCCATGTGCAAGGATGACATGCAAATTCGTGAAGTGTTCCATTTTTTTTATAATAAAAAAATACATGAATAGGCTGTCTGTGCATCTTTCGGTCAATTTCTTTCTCCAATGTTTCCAGGCAGTGTGCCTCAATTGAGAAATGACTGACTGAGAAGAGAGACTGAAGCCAGTGAGCTCACTGTCTTATAAATCAGCAGCACAGGGCTGGGCTGGAACTGTCTGACTGTGGAAAAACCTACTGCTGGGCCGGCGTTGGGAGTCTTTTCCAAAACAGAACCTAAGCCTTACCTTTCCCTCTCCATGGGATAGGGCTGGATTAAAGTTCACGGGGGAGTGAGGAGAGGAAAAAGAAATATGGCTTGCTCATGAAAATGCAAGAGCACCAACTCCAGGTAGTCCATATGTAACATGTCCTGGTTTCGATCTTGGCTTAGGCACAGGATTACAAGTGGGGTCATGAAAAATAGCTAAGAGCTGCCACGGGTAAATCCTGCCTGGTGGTCCCACAGCACTCAATGCTCCAAAGTGAAGCAAAAAAAAATGTTGTTGTCCCAGTGTTAGGGATGAATAAGTGGAGGTGCCAAGGAGGGGCGTTATTTGGCTGAAGATCCTAAAATGGCTACACAGACCAGAGAGCTAGCAAGGTCTCATGCCTGTGGAGTCTATCACTAAATTCTATGCTCCCAATCCTATGCCATCGGACTCTCTTTAGGGACTCACTGACCCCCCAGCTGATGACCTCTGAGCTGGACAGAAAAGCAATTAGGCAGTTCTGATGCTGCCCAGCCACCCCAGGCCTCTGATATCCAGCCTCTGGGACTGTACTTCTGATGCTGAGTCATTCCATACCTGTGTGGTCCTGGGCTCTGGTAGAGGCTTGGCTTTTTGTCCTTCCATGTCTTTCTGCCAAATGCTGAATAGTAGCTTTAAATTAGAAGGCACGACACTTAAGAGTAGGCAGGCAGGTTTCCCATAACAACTGTAGGTCTGCCCAGTTGCAATAGTGTCCAATCCCACGGAGATGTGATATAAGCTAACCGGACCCCTGCACGAGGCCTGAAATTGTGCTGCCAAGGGAAACCTTAACTGAATCTCCTGAGCTGCCTGTGATGCGATCTGATGTGGACTCAGCACTCAGAACTGCCTCGCAGGCCTGGTGCTGTCTTCTGTGAGTTCACAGAGCTGGTACGGGCAGCTGATCAGGGATTGGCTGATTGCCAAGCTGTGAGGGGTCCACAAGGCAGTGGGAGATGAGATGCTTGTGTTGGAGCCCAGACTTATCATTGAGGCCAGCCATGGCCAGCCAGCTCGACACAAGCAAAGTCATGGTGGCAGCCTCCAACTCTGATGGGAAATTGGTTGTCCTGTGCCCTGATGTTGGGTGTTCTCTTTACATCCCACAGATCTGTGGGAATCAGAGGAAAGGGTCCTTCATCAACAGACAGGCTGGGAAAAGCTCTTGGACCTTGTGACCTGGATGAGCTCCTGGAGAGGTGAAAAAGGATTTCTGTAGACAATCAGCCTTCTGATCATACAGAGTGTGAAAACACAGGTAGGGTGCAAAGTCATGCTGGGTATTCCCGGCCACCCCATGCATCTGCTACTCCTGCGGTCAGTAACCAGGCATATGCCTTTGCTCTCGGATGACTGTGGATCAAAGTCGGTTACAGGCCTTCCCCTTCCATTCCTTGCCTTGCCACCATGTCCTCCCTTTGCCCAGGGAACTGTCAAGGGCCTTGCCCTCATAGACAGTCGAGGGAGTCCTGGGGAAATAGCCGGACTGGATAGGAGCCTCATGCTCAGGTAAAAAGGAAAGAGAGTGGCTGACTTGGATAGAACAAGTTCATTCCATAATAGCCTGGATCTCATGAGAATTCTTTTTCCTCCCTGAGTCTTTCTGAGGTAACTACTGGCATAGATACAAGGGAGTTAGCAAGCAAATGCATGACTTCTTAGAGACAGACACAGGGCTGTGGCTCAGGAGGTGGAAGATGATGAGAATCAGGCCTTGGACCCGAAGGTACAGAGGTACAGAGATACCTCATCCAGAAAGAGTCCCAGAAGTGAGAGCATAAGGTCTTGACCTTGAGGGTCACAGGGTTTTGTAGGCTGAATGGAAACCTACGAGTGTTTTGATTGGAAATTGGTTCAAATGGAGGTGCAACAGCCAGCTAACCCACTGCGGTGTGAGGTCTTTTCCTCACTGATGCTTATTTTAATTTGGCTACTTCAATAACTAGACATGAATACAGGTGGGCAATTTTTTTTAAAAAAGTGTATGGACAAGGACATTAAAAGATAAGTTCATTTTGGCACCAGAGTTGTTGAAATTCATGCATAGTGTTTTTTTTTGGTCATAATATGCCTTGTCTTTGTGACCTCTGCCATAGTCATCCTCCATGTCTAGATTTCTCTGTATTTCCCACAGATTTTCCATATAGCCTATTTTATTGTCAGTTCACCTACTCTGCTGAATAAGATATCTTAGATGTATTTTCTTCCAAAATGAAAACCCAGTGACTTTTCTGCTTTTAAGCTTTGTGTTGGAACCCCTTCAAGTAGTTCTTGCTAGCAGAGACCACAGCCCACCAAGCCCTCAGCAGCAGCTGAGGCCTGTAGCAGCTGGCCTTGCCAGTCTCCTCTTTGCCCATGGGCCACCACCCCAATGCACTGGATTGTTTAGAAGCCAATAGCAGACATCACATCATTTCATGCCTGTTTTGGGACATATTTTCATAAGGATCCTTTAAAACTGGGTAATTACCACACACCTAAAAAATAACAATCCCCTCATAGGATCACATTTCCTACCATTTGAACATTTTCCCCTGTTGGCCTATAAAGCTGTAGGCACCAATAAACAGGGCATCCCTACACAGTGTTTGGTTGTGCCTCTCAAGTTTATGGCCCCCTGGGTCATCCTCTGTTTCCCACTGGCACTTTGGTCATTGAAGAAGCTGGGTTACCCAGGCTGGGGAGTGGACCCCACTCTGGACTTTTTAGGCTCTGTGGAGATAGTACACTGAGACCATGATGGCAGTGGATGGTTGCAGATGCAATGAGGCCATGGCAGTCAATGGTTGCAGACCCATTGAGGTCAAGACCAATAGGAAATTTGGGACAGACACTGAGGCTGGTGATAGCTGAGCCCACCAATTATTCATTCCCATGATAAATTCTTGTCACAAAAGTTGAGCTGAACTAGATGGAATCTTCAACAATAGCGATTACTTTATAGAAACTATAAGGGGCAGAAGGAATAAAGACTTCATGACAACCTCACTGCCCTTTCTCATCGTAATAAAGTCAACTTTTCCTTAAGGTTTATTGGTTACCCTGGTAACAGGAAGCCTGAGGCTTAGGCAGTATTTATCGCTTGCTAGATAGACTAAGATTGCTATGCTTTTTTTTTTTAATGGATTTAATCTACTTCCCAAAGATCCCTTATTGTTCCATTAAAATGTTGTCATGCTTTTGCTTTCAGTCTTCCTCCTCCACTCCACCTATAAGCTCTTCCCATTTTTACAAAAATGTTTTTTTGTATTTATTTGAAAGGCAGGCAGAGACCTTTCATCTACTACTTCAGTCCCCAAATGCTCACAACAGCCAGATCTGGGCCATGCTGATGCTTGAGCCCAGAATCCAACCCAGAGTTCCCACAAGGTTACGAGGGACCTGACTCCTTGAGTCACCATCACCTGCTGCATCTCAGGGTACACAGCAGTAGAAAGAGCTGATCAGAAGCAGAACATCTTGGGCTCAAACAGGCAACCTGTGGTGGGATACTGTAACTTAATCACTCTGCCCAATGTCTACCCCCTTTCCATTATCCCATATATTGAAAAGCCAAATGTCAATCTTTTAAGAACTTATAAAAAAGGAATAATGGACCTGCAAAAACTAAATAATTCCTTCTTAATTACACAAATATGAGTGATCAGACTAACAATTACCATTGAGTTTTTTTCCGGTTACACTTGTTTGTTTGTTCCTAATGCTGCATAACAGAGTAATCCAATAAATTGCAACCCAGGGTTGCTAGGTGGGTTGCAATGGCTACAAACTTTGATTGCAACATGTAATAAGAAACAGGAGATGTGCAGAGGGGAGATGGAAACATTCCAAGTTGGAAAAACCCAGGGCTGCACACAAATACAAACATCTCCTGGGAACGTAACCTTGATGAAGTTACTAAAGGCAAGCACATGCATCCCTTCTTTTGGAAACCCAGGCTTCCTTTGGACTCCCTGCCTCGACACTCTCCTGAGTCTTCTCCCACCTCCTGGCACTTGCAGAAGTCTTTTTCCTGGACCCTTCTCCTCTTGTTGACTGTTAAAGATTGGAGCATCTCAAGGCTTGATCCACTGCCCTCCTCTCCTTCACATGCTGCACCTCCCTCTGTCCATGCTTATGGTTTTAATTATCAGCTACATGCTGATGACTCTGAAATTTATATCTGCAGCTTAGACACTGCTCTGCGCTCCCCATCGTAAATCCAGCTGCCTGCTCGACATCTCGACTTGGCCATCTCACAACACTTCAAACCCTGAATGTCCAACATCTGAACTCATACCTTCTGTCTTGCCCCCACTCCTCTCCCAGCGCCCCCTCTAGTAAACAGCACTGCCATCCAAACTTGAGCAAGTCAGATCTTTGGCAGCCAGCCTTGACCCTGCCCTCAACCTCTGGGCCATGTCTGTGGAATTAGTGAGCGTGGTTGAGTCTCATCCCCAAGTCCATTCACACTGCCCCATCTTCACAACTGCCACCATTGTGGCATCCTGATCACCTCTGGAAACCACCGCCCCCTCCGCCTTTTCTCCCCATGTCTGTTCTGTGTCCAACCACCTGCAGACAGGGTTTCGCTTGAAAAGCACACGAAGATGTTGGTGACTTGGTTGCCTTCCCTGAGTCATTAGGAGAAAATCTCAACTTTTTGGTGTGGCTGGCAAGACCCTATGTTACAGGGCCCCCACCTCCCTACCACTCTAATCTCCCAGTCCATTTTCCCTTCTTCTCTAGATTTTAGTCATCACCAGATTGGGCCT